ATATACACAAACCCAAAAAAAACTAGCTCTTCAGTTAATAACAATTTATTAGGCTGTATAGGTTATGGGCATTTGTGGTCTTCTAAATTAACATTATGATCGACTCCTCCTCCTCAAGCGAAAGCCCCTACTTTCAGAATCAGATGGGCCCGGCTCAAACCCGATGGCTCCAATTATGACAAATGGCTCACCCACCTCTCCGTGGCCGCCGCCATGGACTTCAGCGAGGACCTTGAAAGTGTTCTCTCGTATCAACATGTACGCCGTCACATGCTCGATGTCACAGCTAATACCCCCCCTCAATCAGCGCCCCACAAACGGACAGAATTCGTCTCCACAAACTTGACGAATATATCAGGGAAACCAGGGCCAACGACACCTACCAGAAGGCTCGTCTTCTCCTTCTTCGATCCCTCAGTGATGAAATCATCGACTCCATGTCCGCCATCGAACTCGCCGAAGACCCATGAGCGATGCTGTTCTACCTCAAGGATATGTTCCTCCACATTTCCACCAAATACAACGGCTTTAATACCTTTGATTTCTTCTGAACTTCCAACAGTCAGACCAAGATACACTCCGCACATGGTGGCATCGCTGTAGTCTCATACAACACGCCGCCCAGGAGCAAGGCACGATATTTAGCAACACGTTCATGCAAAGCATCTACCTGTCTGGCCTCAGCGACGCAGATAAAGACATCGTTCGCAGTTTCTTGGTCGCATCTCACGATCGCAACCAGGTCAACATATCTGTCATCTGCGAACATCTTGGGCGTTGGGAACGCGTCACCCCCGACATCAAGGATCCCACAGTTGAACAATGCACACCTCGTGCCGCGGCATTTTCCAAGACGAAGGTTCCTACGCCAACACCCCAATCGGTCAACTCCGATGCCCTCCTCACAACTCTAGTTCAGCGCATGGAGAAGTTAGAAAACAGCCAAGAACGGCCCAAGACACCGTGTTTTGTTTGTTCCACAGACAACCATCGTTCTGTAAGAAGGCCTGTGGTAAATGCGCTAAGACTGGCCTCCTGGGCTCAGCTTGCACCGACACAACCCTCAAGTGTACTATCTACAACCGTACCAGCCATGTAAAAGAAGCTTGCAATAGACGTGACAATAAAAAGAACTTCCACTATTCTACTGTTCCTAAAATTGCTAATGTTCACGCATCACGCGTCTATAACACACCTAGTGACAAACTCCTTATTGACGGCGGTGCTGAAGTGAATCTTCTTCACACAAACTCCAAGCACCTCCGCAATATCCAAAAAGGGAAATTTCCTTTGCTCATGGCGGACGAGCGCGAATGCATCATCCATGAGAAGGGTACACTTCCCCAACTTGGCGATGCATACCTTTGTCCTACTCTCCAACAACAACTGGTATCTCAAAAACAGCTCCAGGATGGTGGCTATAGCATCCACTTCCCAGCCAATATCACCACCTGCATCCTCCAACGTGGTGCCAACTCAACCACCCTACATCGCACTCAAGGGGGGTACCGCATCTCCTACGCAGATATCACACGGCTCTCCAAGCCACCGACCACCGCGCGCAATGCGACCCCGGCTACGCCTTGTCCTGCCCCGTCAGACTTGGGCACATCCCATGCGGTTATCCCACCGTCCCCACCTGCACCAGATAGCCCTATTTCTTCGGCTGCACATCCTACCGTCATGGCATCTCAGACGACCATACCACTTTCACCATCGGCACCAGCCACCGGCGCTACTCTCACCCCCAGCACCCACACCGATCCAACTACTGTGATGACCTACGACAAATTTCATTGCACACGGGCACAGAAACCCAATTATCACCCACAAAATGGCTAAGAAATGTGGTATTACCCTTCTTGAGCCACCACCGTTGGGAGTATCCACTGAAGAATGGATGTTCAATCGTAAGGATTTCGCACAAGGCATGCATCAGATTGATTTCACACCTTCAGTCGATCTATTTGCCTCCGCCCGCACCAACAAGCTTCCTAATTTTGCAGGCCCCGGTGGCAACATAGCCTCGTGCTGGACTAAAGTGGACCTACTCAAACACAAATGCTGTGCTAATTCCAAGTGGTCAGACATTCAGGCACTCCTCGAAACTGTTATAACCACTGGCGCTACCACCGCCATACTCGTACCACTTTGTCCAAAGGCCACATGATGGAACAAGTTTTTAACTCGAATCCAGAACCAACCGTATATCATTAACAACATCGAGCACAAGCTCCTTCGACACGGCACGGACGCTGATGGCAAACCGTCTTGGGCATTCTCCCTTATCGCCAGGATTGGTCCCATAGTTCCGGAGTTGCCCCTGGCGCCGACATCAAGGCCGCTATCGCATATGCTACAGCCCATCCCGAATTCGCCAAACATTGCCCAACCTGTCTTGAAGCCAAATATATATATAAACGTTCAGCACTTCAATTCCACAAACGTATATGGACCCGGCGAACAACTCCGCATGGATTTCCAGGACCCCTTCCCTGCCGACCGTTACGGGAACCGTTATGCTCACGACCTCATAGAAAGTGGCAGCCGGTACGGCCTCCATGCTGCTCTCAAAGACAAACAAGACATGTCCAGCAAATAGTTCTCAAGATATCTAGCCATTGGCATGCCAAACAAATAGTCGCCGACGGCGATTCTACATTCGTATGCCAAAAGACTGTCACTGTGCTTCTATCTTACAAGATTGACTTCATTACCACACCCCCTCACGCACAACAAATGAACGGCAAGGTCGAAAGCCCACATCGCGTTATCCATCATCAACTTGCTTCAAGCAGGCACGCCCTGGCAACTCTGGAGCGACTCTCGACGATGGGCGTGCATGCTGCGGAACGAAACCTTATCTCACAAGGCCGACATTCATATCTCTAGTGACATTTGGCTTCAAAAGAACATTACCATTCCACCCGACGCCAGATTCGGCTGCTTCTGTCTATTCAAATTGGAAGGAAAATCCCGCTTAGATCGCCATAAATACGAATCTAAAGCTGGCTACGGTGTTCTCCTGGGGCGAGCACCTAACTCCATACACGACATATGGCTCATCCAGAGCTTGCGCACACAACGTCGCCAATACACCCGCAATGTTAAATTCTTACCTCTAGAACGTCCAGAATGGTCCCCGGACGGTAAGCGCGCAACACGCTCTAGCACCCCATGTACGTATTCCATCCCAAAGGATTGGATGACACAAGCAGCACCAGTCTCAATTGCCATCCTGTTCATCCCATCTACACCCCCTCCAGTCGCCACCCAACCAATCTCCTCATCTTCTCCGGCCTCTCCATCCACTCAACCTCCTCCATCAACCACACCACTTTTTACCACAGCCACCCCTCTCCCTGCTACGTCCGCAACCTTTCGCCCAGGCAACGACCTTGGTTTTGACAGCAACTTGGCCATGGACACCGACAACACGTTTGACGAGCTCAGTTCCGGCTCTAGTCCCGAATTTGCTTCAATCTATGACTATCGCGAAGACCTCCCCCGCCGTTCTATGCAGGATACACACATACCATCCCCTACCACTTCGACCATCGACATCTCCTCTGTTTCCACACCCGACCCTGACGACGCTCGAGCATCTTGTAGGACTCTACTTCTGACGAATCCCTTCTCGACATCATTGCCGAATGTTGTCCCGCGCGATCCCAATTGCCTCAAGGCTCATAGTCCATCACTGAGACTTCCACTTTACCACCAGACAACACACCTCATATACTCGCGGTGCAGCCTTTGCAACGTCCCGAAATCACTCTGTTCGAGACCATGTCTCTCCTAGATCCCACTGTGCCGAAGGGCATCGCCAAGGCCCAAGCTGCCTCTGACTGGCCCCTGTGGATGGGAGCAATTGATATAGAACATCAGGCTCATATCAGAAATGAACTAGCAGATGTCATCCTCATTTCGGACGTTCCCACCAATGCTAAGATAATCCATTCTAAGTAAGTACTGGCACGCAAACACGACGAAAACGGAAATCTAACAATTTATAAAGCCCGCATGGTCGCACGAGGCGACCAGCAGGAACATGGGGACTCATAATACGAAACCTACGCACCCGCAGCATCCTCAGTCACTCTAAGGACATTTCTCGCACGCGCAGTCTTCGAGAAATATCAAGTACACCATTTCGATGTCTCTACAGCTTATTTGTACGCAAAAACTAGGCACAGTCGTTTACATGCACCCTCCTAAGGGTACAGTGGAACTTGGTTTCTATCCTAAAAACACAGTACTGAAACTCAAACGGGGTTATACGGCCTTCGACAATCTGGCCGCCTATGGAACCTCGTCATTGCAGACATACTAAAACAACTCGGCTTCACACAGACAGAAGCTAACGAATGTATCTGGGTGCCCAACACCAAGGACATCATCGTCGTTCTCTATGTCGACGAAATATGTCCTGCAATTCCACCTGGTACATCGCATGCAAAATGACTCTACGAAAAACTAGGCGCCCACTATAAACTCAAAGA